TTGATTTCAGGTTCCTGAAGCAGCATACGAAATGCCGAAATTTTACCGGCTGTGTGAGCTCGGCTACAACGCAAAGTCGGTTGTCCAAGAGGTATTTGATAGATGTGGTTAGGTGACCAACCGCTGCTTTCAACGAGCAATCAGTTCTTTATTTCATTAATTATTGTTTTTGTCACTAAATACATTTTTCTGCATTGAACGTTTGTGTTTGTTTTTTTGGTTACAAATAAATTGGGAACTTGAATGAAGCGGTAAGTGTTATTCAAAAAGTTGCTTCCGTTAGCAACACCGTGTCACTAGTACACGTATAGTAGTAGGTTTAAACTGCACACATTGGACAGTCGCGAACGGTCAATCTCCTGACTATTCTGTAATGCTAAACGTCCCGTCAGGGTGTCCAATCAAAGTTGTGAACCCATTTTGTCGAGTCAACCAAGAAGGTTCCACTCATGGAATAGCATAAATTTAATTAATGATTGATGAAAACGTATCTGTCATACCTCTAAATATCCTAAATTAAACTATTGGCATGGAATTTCCTCGTTTCTGTCGGGAGCCGAATCAATTCTAAAGGGTAAACGAGTATACTGGAAGAAAACAATGTGGGTTTTGATTGATATGGGGACACGAGATAATTTTTCCCATTCGATTTGGGAATATGTATAACTCAAATCACTTTTGGTATATCTTGGGAAATGCTGCTTATAAATCCTTAACAGGTGGTAGTGGATATCTGTCCTGGGCGGCGGACGGTAAGCTTATGATCACCAAAACTTCGAACAGAAACATCTGGTTCACTCACGGGATCTATCGATGTTCGCCGTTCGAAGAACTGGAGTGGTTTAATTATTCCTTCCTTCTGTAATCGCTTCAGTTCTTCTTCGATCTAAGTGTGCGTATGGCATGCAGCGTGCATTGCGATCCAGTTTGATCTTGGCTCAGAATCTTTTCCGCTGTCCCAAGCTACCATCAAATATGTAGTTTTTGTTACCAAAGTTACTTAAGAGACCACCTGATTCACTGTATCCAATCCGTTTGGCACATTTCTGATCCAAACAAATTCGAACACTCGTCTGTCACAACACACCCCGGGAAGTATGCGTTTTTGCCCATGTAATTGCACATGCCCGTCACATTTACTCAGAACCGGGATTGTCTGATCTGTGTAGGTTCTCAACGTGAACTGGCAACTAGTCAATCGGAGTAGATTGTTCGCAGTCTTGAGGCGGCCTATTGACACACATGCTCCAGTATAAATTTGTATTTAAACAGATAGTCCTTCGATTTTGACTTGTATGTAGTAAGACGGTGGACGTGAGTAACCACATGGTAGGATGCAAATCGTCAAATGAGCATTGGTTTGTTTGTGCTCTAGCATATTTTCTCGTGTACAAAAGTAACAGGTTTCCCAAGTGAATTTCTGTTGTGATGGCTCCTTAAGAAAAAATGAGTTAATCGATGAATGTTATTTTCTTGATATCGGACGATTGCATATGCTCTTCCCAGATAATTTTAGATTATTTTTTTGAAAAAAACCTCTGGCGATCTAGGTTGCCATGACTACTAGCAGTCAAGTACTGAAGGGCCATTTCTTCTTCAATCTTGCCTTTTGGTACTTCAATTCACCGATATTCTGGCAGGGCTTGTTAAATTCTTGCAATGAAATCGTTGGCATGTTCTTTAGCGTTTTGGCGCAGTTCAGAAAAACAGTATGTGTGGAGGAAATTAAAGTTTGATGAATTTACTGAATAATTTATTCAATGTGTTATTGACATCAACATTAAGTGCGTTGAAATAACGCTGGCGCTTGCCATCAGAATATTGATGAAATAGTTTTATCGTGCGTGATTTTTTAAACACAGTTTGTGCCTGGAGCACAGGTAGCACCTCAACGTAGTCCTTTTCCATCGATTCCAAGTGGAACGCGATTGGTGTTCCGTGGCTGCGGATCGCAATAGAAAGATAGATGTAGAATAATTGGTTTTTATTTATGCGGCTAATATTGTTAAAACCGCATTCCAATAATAACGCTAATGCACAATATTGGTAAGGGTCTGTAACCCAACACACAAGAAATCAAAACACGTAAGCAAGCATGCTGATCGGAAGCGGGTTAGC